ATACTCTATTTGGGAAGTTTAACAGATCCATCTACCCACCATCATGGTCCTTGCTTTGGTTCTTCAACCTTTTCCCATTTCTTTGTACCAATCCCTCATTCTGTTCTTTCAGAGTTTTGTTCTTTCTTGTACAGGGGGAGATCTCTGAGAAAATTTTCAGTGATTAAATATTAAAAATAATAATTGGGAAAGAGTAAATACCTGTCCTGTTAGCAATTGGTAATTGTAAAAATAGAATTGATCAAACTAAAAAATATTGGACTGTCAATTAGAATAGCCCTCATCAGACTCCCCCCACCAATAGGTTTCTCTCCTTCTAGGGTGCCCACCACTGCTTCTAGGCTTCCTCCAAGTCTCTCTCCACTTCTTTGTTACCCATCCATTCAATACTGTGTTCAGCCAGCCCTGTGCTTTGGGTTTGATGTATTCCTTTTAGGCATAATTTCTTGATGGGCACCAGAGATTAAAAAATTATATTTTGCTTCAATTTACTGCTCTGTTTTCTCACTTTCAGATATTACAGTGGGGTTAATCAGTAGAAACAATTTGCAGAGTAGTGTTAGGACTCATAACAACCTTGTATGTTTCTCTTCCTGTGAAACTATTTAAATAGCTCTCATCAGTCCTGCAGAAACTACAGAAGGAAGACTCAAAACTGTGAAGGCCGGTGTTTTGCCATGCTCAAATCCATGACTGCAAAGTTCTGCCTCCTTTTTTTGTTTGTTTTCCCTTCTTTCTCCAAGAAGGTAGGGATTCATGCACCCTTTCCTACATCCATTCCATCCATAGAGAGGACCCTCACCTATAGAAAGTGGATTTTGAACCCCAGCCAGAGACCTAGCCCCCATAAGTTACAGCAGACGTCTCCTGTCCAGGTTATTGCCGCCTCTAGCATTGTATTTCAGTCAATCTGCCTGTTCTGCCTCTCACATTGTCTCTGATGAATCCTCTCACCCCCTGCACTTTTGTCCTGTACCCCGATTCTTGGACAAAGTCCTTTGAAGAACTATGTCTTGCTGTGACCTCTGTCGAAGGGATGTCCTCAAGAGATTAAGGTAGAAAAATGACAGTCAAGATGACAGATACGATAAGACTTGTAGAGTGAGGTTATGAATGGCAGTCTAAATCAGAAAGTAGTTACCACACTGTAATTTCTTGGGAGGATCTGTTCAATAGAGATTCATCATCTCTATTTCTCTAGCACCTATTCAAAGGCTGGCTCCTCTGAGGTGCTTAATAATTTGAGTTATATGTAAAATGAACAGTAGTTACCTAGTGGAATTTCATAGAAAGTCAAAATGGCAAAAATGGCAAAATGGAAAAAATGGTTATGGAAAGAATTGTTAGTGCTTGAGAGAAGGAAAAAAGGGAAGGAAGGCAGTAAAAGCAAAAGTTTTTATCTAATACTGTTTCCACTGAAAGCTTTTTTCCAGTAAATATGTTATATAATTGTCTTAAATGTGGTGTTCAAAAGTGATAACTCCTTTTAAGTAAAAAAAAAAAAATGCTCTTCTGAAATGTTTTATTAAATACAATAAACTGAAGTAGAGACAATTGAAAGTAATTTTTTCTCAAAAAGTACAAAATGTCTTTATCGCTGTGTTCTGATGATGTATATGCCATCGTGGAGAGCAATAGCCTCTCTTGTCACTGAATTCATAAGGCAAGCATCAACACTCTAGGGGAGATGGGAGGTACTTTCTAATAAAATTCTTGCGGGTCAGCTACTTAATATTAGCAATCCCTTTTTATTTGCTTGAACAATGCTGCTAGTGGCTATCTATATAACGTCATAGAGGCTATTTCCCAGCGAATACTGGAAAAAAGTGGCAATAATTTTCCTTGCTTTTTGTCTCCTCTTGAATGTTAAAGAGATGTCCATCATCAGTGTGTGCATATTCAAGAAAATACAGATCCATGTGAATGTGTGTATATACTAAATATATATACTATATATTTAGAGATAAGTAGCTGTATACACATATGTATCTATCTATCTATCAATCTATCTATATATTTCTCACTGGGAGTCAACAAAAACCTAAGGATTACTGATTGAAGTTTCTTTATTCTACTTTTTAAGACATGCTTTAATAATTACCTTGGCTAATTTCCAGATAGGACAATCTTCAACCAAGAACCTAATTGAGTTCTGACCCAAGTTATTACCTCCAAACTTCTATTTGCTTAATGCAAGTAGTGGTTAAGAAGTAGATCAGGTTCAGACCAGTAGATCAGACTGGTCTCCTTTCTTTCTGAAAGACTCTGTGTAAGAGGTAAGTGGTGCGCAGCATACAAGGTAATAAACTTTAAGTGACACGGTGCCAAGAGCACACTATTTGAAAAGTTCACGTATAAAATAAACTGATTTTAACCACATTACCTACTTTTTATTGGCCGACAATATTACAGTTTACTTATTAGTCTGTGGCTATGGGCTACAGTCATCAAAGTATTTGCAAAAGTGACCATTTAAACTGATGACAATCTTTTATCTTAAAGTGATATTGACTTTTCTATTACAGTCTCTGCCTAAAAAAATCACTGCTGTCAGGAAGCTACTATCTTTCTTGATTTAGACTAAATCTAAGTGTTACAAATCAATGGATTTTTAGAATTGGTACATGTTGCAGTACATGTATTGTTGGCACATGATATGTGTTCTCCAAGAATGTAGCATGCATAGCAACTCCTAGATTTCAAAAAGGAAGGAAAGAAAAAGGGCCAGAGTCAACCACTTTGTCCTGTTTGAGCATGCACATGTTTTATTTAAGTATTTCCAAAGGTCTATTTTTTTCCAGCATAATGCAGATATTATGCTATTCTTTGAAATAAGATATATGAATTTCAAACAAAATTGTCAAAAACAATGACCTTGATTACTCCATATGGTACACAGAAATAATTACATTTCACTTACAATACAGATGCACTTAACACAGTCATCAATAGTCATTCACCACCGACACAGTATATTTTTAAATCACCTAAACACCAAACTATTTTTTCTTTTCCAAAAGTCTAAAAAAATTAATAGTTTTGGATAAATGATAAGTCAAAAAGGAGACAGAATTGTCAACTAAAATAATCTAACTGTCTTTTAAAAATGTAATATTATGAACATGAAAATAGAACTTCTCATTGGGAATCAAAAGAGCTAAGTATTCCTGATTGTGGTTTCCTTAGTCTACTTTTTAAAAAGTATTTCGACAAATGCCATCAGAGATGTTTCACTATATATTTGCTCTAGAAGCATAAAGTGACATGAGGCAGGTGTTAAAGTATAATTGTTAATATTCACGCTCCAGGAAGATTAGTAACTTTTTAAAAGACACACTAGGAATAAAGCCAGTTCTTCCCGAGAAAGAGAGTTTATTTTACTTTCACTCAGCAAGTGTTTATTAAGATCTATTGTGAGCACAGCACTGTTCTAGAAGCTATTCTAGAAATGGGAAGCAAGAATTTCTGGCTTTGCTTGAAAATGATTGGATTAATCCCTTTTTAGAATAAATTACGATAAGCATTTAAAAATTTCTATCGTAGAGGGATAATTATTAACTCTTTCCACGTACAGAAGTTAACTTGGTTCCTTATAATGGTGGTTTGGAATGAACAAGACTTTTCATTTGACATAAAACTTTATTACACTGTTACGGGCAGGTATGTCTGCTAATATATTTTTAAAGGTGAAAGGTATAAAGACTTTTCAATTAAATGTACATGGAGATCACTTTGCATCACCAAACTCCTGTCTTCCATAGTAGAGAAAACTGCTTCTCATAATACACAGGACCTATTCTGAGATAAATTTGTGCTACTTTATCCCAGAGAGTAGCAAGAAAGCTTTCATTTAATATTGCTACCTCAAGCGTTCCAGTTTATCTCTGCATTCCAATACACATTAGTTATTCTCAAAATGTATTCAAGATCTAAAGCAAAATAAATAATACATCAAGTGAGATTCTGGGATCATTGATCCTATGATATTAGTCCCAGCCAACTCTTTTCATGACACGTAGTGATATATCCAGTATCTGGGCTGTTCATAACAGCAAAGAGGTTAGAGATAAATCATAGATGTCAACTCCTTTTTTTCTAATTTTGAGCAGGGGATTGATGATGATAATCTACTTACAAGATCCTTTGTTGGGGAATACAAAAGTAGGGAATTCATTTGAACTACAAAACTAGTCCAGTTGATGACGGTAAACCCAATAGAAAGGAGCGATAGAACCACAGGAACAAAGAATGCACTGGCACAGAATACAGAAGACTAAAGGATATTACTGAAAAACATTTATGGCACAATAGTTTTGGATTAAAAAGTTCTCTAAAACCTGGCCACACCAGAAGCTCATGTATGAATGTGGCTTTTACTGTATCTATGAAGATCTGAAAATACAGCAACAAAAGGTTCTGATGCCTGATACAACAGGTGTACAATGAATTATTGCAGTTGTAACAGTTTCTAGGTGCAAGGTAAAACGATAATTAATACTGAACTATCTGAACACTTTAGATTTACTAATGAGCATCCCCATGAAAAACACTGTGGTTCTAAAAGGAGTTTATTTGCACAGCCCACCAGAGAACATGAACAATCAGCTTGTTGTAAGTGCACAGAAATTCCCCCTTTCTACAGTTATAGTTTATCATGCCTATTCTGAAGACAACATAAGGAAACTGAGATCACTGCTCCAAAGAATTCTAGCATGCATTAGGATGGTTTCCTTCAGTCAGTACAAATGTGCTGTATGAGTTTTTTAAATGTACTAATCTTCACCACTGCCAATGTTCATGGTTTTTAACAGGAAAAAATTTTATCAAAATGTTTTCCATATTTTTTTTTGTTTGCATTCAACTGGAACTTTATGTCCAAAGATTTATTTTATTAATTTTATTACAAAAGAGTTCTGGTCATAAGAAGCATCAGTAGGTGGCATTTCAAGGCCACAGACTCTTTCTCTGCATAACGGCTCACATTCGGTCTTGAAATGCCATTGGGTTTAGTATTTCCATCCTCAAGTCTGGAAACTTTGTTTTTGTTTCACTACCAACCTTCTTGCTTTGCTGTTCTCATCTGCAAAGAGTTTATTTTTCTTCTTTCTTCCACTTTGGGATTCTCTCCACAGCCGGGGCTCAAATTCTCTTAGACTCCATTCAAATCGTCTTACAAAGCAGACACTCTGACGATATTACCTCCTGAGTACTCAGGGGACTCTGGCCTGTCATCTCCTTCAGGAGTGGTTACTGGAGGTGTAGGGATGCTTATTATTGCTGTAGTCACATAAGGTTGTTCACAGTTTAGTTTAACACACTCTTCCATTTTGGCATTTAAACTGGATCGGCTGATGAGGAAAAGATAGATTTAAGAAAGTTAAGTTGTCTACATAAAGAAACTTTTCCCCCTATAAATGAAGATATCTTTTCATGCTTATAAACTTTTAAAAGGCTTCACAACAATTACCATGACTTTTTAAAAAATCAAACAGCAAATATGTGTTAACATTGATTATATATATATAAATATATATATTAACATTAACACGAGCGATGGCATTAGCAACAAATAAATGCAAAAAGCCCTGCACAGTTTGGTTCAATCAGTGTTTCTCAAAGTGTTTTCTAAAAAAAAATGCAAGAAAGAGGATCAGGAAAGTTTGAGAAAAACTTGGGTCAAGCAAAGTGAAATAGTTTTCTTTAAGACAGAATCACTGAGAGGCCTGAGATACATTATGAAGGGGATAGCTGCTGTAGATGTCTGAATTCCTTTGATCACAGAATCTTTTCAGTATCTTGTCTCTCCGGATATGTGCTGCCCTTAAAGCTTTTAAGGTAGTGACGGCCAAACGTTAAGAACCGCAAAAGTTAGTCACTCCTGTCTATTAGTTCAAGGTTTTCCCAAGTAGTTTTATTGTGTGAGCTTTATCCTCATGAGGGAGGGAGAAATGAAAAATGAGCAAGGAGGTTATGCAGAGAAGCTTAAAACTACTTAATTTTCATGGAAAACTTAAAATATTTTCTTTTCAACTACTTCTCCATTTTTCTATTTCATTTGGAATAGATATAAAATAGCACAAAGGTACAATATCTTGGAGATGGGAACTTTTCTTTGCTCCAAAATTTAAGATTCTGGTCCTAGAGCCATCAATTTTATAAAGCAACATAGCTTAAATTAAAAAGCGCATCCAGATTTTCAGCAAACATTGTTGAATTTGAACAAAGAAGAGAAGGGGAGCCATTTTCTTATTTGTTGGGGTAGCAGGTTTGTCTCACTCCAAGCCAAGGAGAAACTAGGATTTAGATGCCACGGAGGCAGGAACCTGGCTGGAAAGGGGACGAGGCCGAGAAGCTGCACAGGTGTGCGGTCCACACACAGATCATCTTAGTACCTGTTAGATAGTGGGGTTCTCTCCACACATCTGATCTGAATCGTACTGAGTTCTTGCACACTACCTCGGTGGCTCCCGGACACGTTGGCATTTGGGATGCGGAAAGTTTTTTTGTGTCGCCGTGAACAGCAAGTGCTGGTGACTCCTTGTTGTGAAGAGAGAGACGGACTGTGGCTTGAAGGACGATTAACAGTTGCAACTTCCATGCAGCTTTCTTCAAAGACTTGTTCATCCACAAACTCGTGATTCTGTTCCAGAGTTGTAAGAAAATGTGAAGAAAGCACAGAAACACATTTTAAATTTAAACAAGGGAATGAATAGCTTTATTTTTAAAGCTTCAATATTCCACATATATTTATTTAGGCCCTCCACTGAGTAGCTAAAACCATTTTCAAGATGATTAGAATGTCAAAGCCACCTTAATACAACAAATCTGGCATTTGTATGAAAGTAAAATTTCTCTGGTTAGACCTCAAGATTGACATGTGCAGGCTGACTTACTAAGTGTCCATTTATAGACTATTTTGAAATAGCATTTATTAATTTAAACACAAAGGCTGGAAGTTATATGCTAATGGAGGGGGTGGGGAACCCTTAGATAGCAATACAGATAAAGCCCACAGGGAATGTGTAAATGCATATTGACATTTATTTTTTAAGCAGATAAAGTTATGGAAGAGGCTATTTTAATAAAATGTCCCAAGTTAGATGATTATCTGTTTTATATTAGCAGATATTTTCATCTGGGAATGAAAACATTTTCTTAATTAGCAATTGGGATAAGAAAGCCACTTTCTTTAGGAGGTCCTACAAAATAAGATTCATTAGTGAAGTAGATGAAATACATTTATATGACAAATGTGTCACTTTATGTTTGTCCCAAGGGGAGTAGAATTGAACTTCTGAGGACACTTTTTTTTTGGTCTGTGATTCAACACTGGCTAAAATATCTACTCAAGAATTTTACCTCAGAAATGTAAGGGAAACATTTGTGGCCTGAGCTACCAGGGCAGGGCCTCCATTACTTTTTTCTTCTTGAGGTCAGACTCTCACAACAGAAGGCTTTGCATATGCTGAAATGCATCTAGTGGTCTCTTAACCTAAAATATTAGCAAAACAATCGAAGCGATTCTGGCTAAAAGCAAATAGATGGTTTTCCTTACTTACTTTATCATTTCTTTGCTGAGACAAGTGTTTTGTGGTAATGAAATTTAACATTCTACTGTTTAGAGACCAGAGAACAACATGGTCAGGCAAGATGGAATTTCACATTAAATATTATTTTATGGAAAAATATATAGTTCACAAAGAATTTACAACCTGTTTTCTTCTCATACTGCATATTTCACACACACAAGACAAGTCATGAAGAGATTGGATTCTAACTTATTTCATTAGTGACTGGAAATGACAAGGTCATTTTATTGCTGGTTACTATATGTTTTTGAAAGTAGCTCTGTTTAGGTAGCTCAGTTTAAGCCCCATTAATTAGTGCTCATGTTTGACTGAAAAAGTCTAAGTTGTAAAATAGTAAAAAACTGAAAATGAAAGTTAGGGATAAATATATTCTATTATTAATGTTATCATTTAACTTTCAAAAACCTATCCTAATCAGTTAAAGATTTGTACTTAAAAATGCAAATATAAGCATGTTTAAAGCCCTCAAATAATTTTCCATTTATTATGAGATAAGGATCAAAATTCTTCACTTATCTCTAAAGCTTGCCATGGGCCAGCCACTGTACTCAAGTCTGCCTGCTCTTGTATTGCATTACATTTTCTCCTGACACCCTCAACTGCCTTCATCCCTGTGGGTCTGCTATTCCTAGGTGGCTTATCCTGCCTCCATTCTAAGAGCCCAACCCTAGGAGGCACCTTTCAGGTCAATCAAGAGCATAAGGCTAGATCACCCTGGGAAGGGTCTGCATCACGAAGTATGACTGGGAACGCCTGGGAGCCTGGGAGGGGTGCTGAGGACAGATGCATAATCTTACTCCTGACTTACACATCATGGAGGTATGAGGGGAATGCCCAGAGGGCCATTGACTGGTGCATACCAAAGGACCCCAGAAGCTGATCATGGCATGCCTTATTGATAAGACTGAAATCCTGACTGGAAGAGTCAGGGCTATTCTACATACCAAACTATCAGCGGATGCACAGTTCCACCTTTTGCCCAGCTTCTTCTAATTTTCCCTTTCTTCTCCACTTCCTCACATGATTAATGCTGTGGGATCAGTCTACCAATAAAATGGCCAGGATGTTGCTCTTCGGCATCCTGCATTATGTAGCCTGCTCCACGACTCCCGTTTCTTTGGTCAGTGTGGAGTTGCCCGATGCAACAATCCCTCTTAAGCCAAGTCCTAGCCTTCCCTTGGGTGCCATTTCACCTCTCTGCCCCTTCCTTTCTTTGCCTAAATCTCTCCTAGTCATCCTTTGGGTCTCAGTTCAAGTTCCTCCAGGAAGCCCTGTCTGATGCTACAAGCCAATCCTCACGGTCCACACCACTGTGCCCCCACCATATCTTCAGCTGCCCCTTACTTGTTCTGCCCCAGTAGCATCTGTGCTTTGGCTCACACCTAGAGGCCATCCCTGACTGGATGGTGTATACTGGGTCTGACCCCTCTGGTCTTTAGTAGGCAAGTAACCCATGCTTGTTGAATGACTGCATGAGCGAAAGAACACTCAAGGACAATGTGCTGGAATTGAGAACACAAATATGCATCTCTTGTGAGTGAGGGAAGAGACTTGATTTGAATATGGTAAAAGTTTTATTCTGGTCTGTGGTCACAGGCTGTGACTTCTTTTAAAAAAACCAGCTAGAGAATGGGCACCTTAGCCAAGAGGGCAGCGGGATGGACAGCTGATAAGTGGAGAAATGCAGCTCGGTTCTCAAACCCAGAGGGCAGGCTGGTGTTTAGATTTGTTGTTTTTCCTATGAGAATAAATAGGCTTTATCATCTTTGTTCATAATAACTGTGAATGAAAGAAATACTTGCATTATGTTATTGTCTATTTTTTGGTATTGCTATTCATATTGCTGTATCCAGATGTCAGGAGCACTTGAACATCTTTTTTTTTTTTTTTTTTTCTGTTTAATCAGTAATTTAAGAATCAGGGGGGAATGATCCTATATAGGACTTATATTTAGCAGTGGCGGAACAACTTTTTATCTGCATTAATTTGATATTTTACACTAGAGTTGTGACAAGCACGAAGGACAAAAGCATTTTAAAATAAGTCTCTGAAATACTTTCCAACTTGAAAAGTCACTGGAGTCTTTTAGAGTCATTCAAAATATTGTGAATTTTTCTGACTCCTTGGTTTTTGGCATATTTTCTGGTAATACAGACAGTGAAATCATGCTTGGAAGCACTAAGTATTCACAACAGCAAATGGGGTTACTGTCTGCAGACAGAGGTAGGCAGTCAGGCCTGTTGTTCCTTACCGTGGTTTTTTCCAGGCAGTGAAGGAGGTGGTGGTGCTGGGTTTCAAAACTGGAGCCGGATTTGCTACCAAAGGCCTGCTCATCCTCGGAGGACTGTTAACACAGAGAAGAGAAGAGCTTTCTATTTTATTTTCCTACAGTAAGAACCTTAGCCACACATTTTGACAGAGAGATCTGGCCTATTTCTTGAGATTAAGTGGCAGCATTTTTTTTTTTTAAACTAAAACAGGGCAAATATGCATTGCTTTTAAGTTTGCTGGTCAGCATTTGCATTTTCATCAAATTATTGGTTGTCTTTTAGATTTGTTTCCCTAAATTGAAAACAGGAATCTCTTTTACACATTCAACTACCGACAATCTCTGAAAGCCTGGGAGCCTTAGATAATTCTGAAACCTCTATCATGCTCACCTACATAAAAACTATTTTATAATTTTATAAGAGGATAAGATCCTCAATACTAAAGGGAACTTTTGAGGTAAAAGTAAAATTTCTCAAGTGTGTTTTATACGCTCTGACCTTTATCACAGTAAATGAGGTTCCCTCACCATTAAGAAGTAAAACAAGGTATCATGTCACCCTTTACCACCTCACCTAAATGGACTTTTAAGGAAACAAATGAGATATCTGAGTCACTGATAATATTTTACATTTCCCATATAAAAAGGGATCTGGACCCAATTCTAAAGTGTGTGTGTGTGAGCATGGTGCAGGGTGCGGGGCGGGGTTCTTCAAGCAATGCTCTGGGTCCCAGTTGGGTGTCCTACATGCCATTCAACGCAATTTGAATGCTAAGTAGCATCATGTTCCACAGGATAAGGGCTCACCCCTACCTGCATTCCATGTCAGATGCCAGTGGCAAGCCCGGATTATCACTCTTGTTTCTGACCAAAGAGCAACAGTTTGGAGGTACCAGTGCCCTTGACCTTGGCCTGTGATTCCCAGTCCAAAGTCCAGGTTTCCTATACTGTCTGATCAACTGGGTATGATCAGAGTGTCTCAGGATCACTCCAGGTATAATTAACTTGTTAGAGTAGCTCACAGAATTCAGAGAAACATTTCCTTACTAGATTACTGGCTTATTATAAAAGAATATAACTCAGGATACCAACTAGAGGGAAGAGATGCATAGAAAAATTGTGCGGAAGGGCACGGAGTTTTCATTTGGATATGCCACTGTCCCCAATTTTCCACATGTTCACCACCTGGAACCTCTTTGGACCCCATCCTTTTGGGGTTTTATGGTGGTTTCATTACATAGATTTAAGTAAATCAGTGGCCACTGGTGACTGAATTCACTCTCCAGTCCCTCTTTCCTACCGGGACTTCTTGGTTGGTCCTTGACTCCTTAGATGTGGTAGAGGTCACCTCATTAACATAACAACACCTTTTTAGCTCCCAAGGCTTAGAAATTTCCTAAAGGATTCAAGGGCTCCTTCCAGAAACCTGAAGATGACCTACTATCTATTTCTTATTAAAATTCACATTATCTCACCGTGTTTACAAGAGTCAATGCAAAAATAGTGCCCAGTCATGAACGGAAATAATGATTTGCTGGCAGTATTTCAATGCCCAGTATCTAAGTTATTGCCGCCACTTAGACCGTATGGGGAGAGGTTATTAAAAAATGATACCTTTGTTGTTTCAGTAGCCATGCTCGTAATTACTCACAATAAAATTATATTAAGTAGACTCAATCAATATTACACCAATAAATTGAACATTAGGAAAAATGAAGAGCTTGACTGTACCTGCAGCTGATTGCTGAGCAGGCCATTCCGCTTGCTCTGCATATAAGCGTTTGCACTTCCGCTTTTGGCTGCCCGAATCCTGGCCAGTCTGGCTTTCTAGAGAAGAAATAGGAATGTTCTGTTAATACTCACAGTGGTGCTTTCTTAAAACACTGAATACACTCTGTATGCTCCTAATGTCAGAGTACATACTTTTAATAGTATGGCGGCTTTTCGCAAGTCACTGTTACCTTAAAAAACAAACAAACAAACAAAAAACTGTTGGCCCTCCCTGGTGGCACAATGGGTTAGGATGCAGCACTGCAAGCTGGCAGTAGCCACTCTGGTGTTGGTTCGATCCCCAGCTCCGGAACTGATCCACATGGCATGACAGACCTCTCCTGTCTCGCCCGCTGCTCCCCTCAGTAGTGTACTTCCTCCATCTGCCTATCCTGCTCCCCACTCTGTCTCTGGTGAAGCCTCTTACTGCCCCTGCATCTCTGGCTTGTACCCCAATTCTGTATGAATAATTAAATCTTTGAAAAAAAAAAACAACACAAAACTGTTAAGGGCAACCCAACGCAAGACGGTGGTCCTCACCCATGCACTTAAGATTCAACTACAGACACACACAAAAAGTTCAATAATGGGTTTATTTACAAGGGAAAAGGGACATGGATAATTCAGGGAAAGAGAGAGACAGAGATAAGTTGGTGAATGGGTCCTACCAGTTCTGCTGACCTGGATCCCCAATAGCATGTTGAGAACAAAGAAGAGCCAAGAGACAAGCCCTCGCCACCAGGCCAATAGAGCCCCCAAAGCCCCCATATCTGGCTTCATATTCAAACCTGGCTGCTTAACTCCACCCTCAGGTCCCAGCATGCTTCTCTTTAGTATTGATGGGATTTGTAGATCCATTATCTGGGTGGGGGTGGAATTCACAAAACCTGTATCTGTAGAGTTTGTTCAGGACATCCTTTCCCCTTACATAAACACAGCACATTATATTTTTACCACTGAGTATTTTATTTTAGTTAACATTTATCAGTATGAACAATTCAGTACTTTGGAACTGGGTTATGCATTTAAGAACTGTAACGAAATCTTAAAGTAAGAGTAAATTATTTCATTATTGTTTCTGTTAACTGTGTTCAGAGAACAATAGCAGTGTGACTTTATTTATATTTTCACTTACCCCAAACTGAGTAAGTTAATGAAATGAAGACCCAGTAAACAAGCTGCTAAATCCTTTACATGTAAACTAATATCCTTTTAAAAACTGGTATTTAAGTTCTAGAAACAAATTCTCCTCCCTTCCTTCTCTTCCGTCCCGTTGTCTTTCCTTCCTCTATACCTTCTTCCCTGTAAAAAATCACTTTCAGTTGTACCTGCACCTTCAAATATTAGTTTTAATTTTGCAAAGTTTTTGTGTAATTGATCAATGTAGACCCCTCGCTGACCAACATGATCTCTAAAAGAATTCACAAAATATATTCACTTTTGCCTGGCTCATGTCCATACTACAGCTGTGCTCATCTGATTTCTCTTTCTTGAAGTTGTTGATATGAAAATCCAGTGAGTCACTCCAAAGTGATATATAGTGTTATTTTTATTTTTAAAAGCATTTGTGCATACAGAATGTTCTTTAGTTAAAAGAGGCTTGGGGTGGTAAATTCAGTTGTTCATAGTTACACTGATATTACCAAAATGACACTAGTAAGGGAATCCTCTTAAGCCAGATATGTGGTATTCCATTAGCTTTACAACTGGTGAAGTCTACCTGTCTCCGACTACCAAAGAGCAAGTGGAGAAGACTATGGCAGTGTCTATTCTTTCTGTATGATGTTTATCTAATAAGGGCTTGTAAGCAGGGGCCCTCTCTAGTAACATAAGCGTTTAAAGTACAGCATGACAAAGCTGAAACCCCTTCAGCATGAGTTTGATCCCCAGCCAACAGGTGACCTGCATGGCACGGCAGACCTCTCCTGTCTCACATGCTGCTCCCTTCAGCAGTGTATTTCATCAGTCTACCTGTTCTGCTCCCCTCTTTGTCTCTGGTGAATCCTCCTATCATCCCTGCCCCTCTGGCCTGTACCCCATTTCTGTATGCACAAATAAAAAAATCTTAACAAAACAAAACAAATCAAAACAAGTGCTTGTAAGGAAACAAATAGAACAGCTAGGATGAGAATTGCTTTGTAAAATTACACCAGGATGCCTTCTTTTCCCTTTCCAAACAATGCACGTAAAGTCTATTTTCAGCTCTAACTCTGGAATGTTCTTTTTTAAAACTATTTTTTTAAAAGATTTATTTATTTGTACATACAGAACTGGGGCTGTGGGTGGCTCATGGGTGGCGAGAGGCTTCACTAGAGACAGAGTGGGGAGCAGAACAGGCAGATGGACGAAGTACACTGCTGAGGGGAGCAGCCGGCGGGTCAGGAGAGGTCCGCCACACCATGTGGTCACCTCCGGGGCTGGCAGGAATCGAACTCATGGGGAAGTGGCTTTTAGCTTCTTAGTGCTGTGCTCTAACCCACTGTGCCACACGGGAGGGCCGGAATCGGAATGTTCTTTTTTAATAAAATTTTTGAGAATTTATTTTTTAAATAGAAATTAAACGTATGCTTATTTCAAAAATGGATGAAAATCACTCTGTACCTTGGAACTGCCTTTACTCCTGCTCTTTAGTGTCAATGACTGGTAACATTTCTATAGGGTCTTACTAGAAATTTCCTAGGTAAATACACTTATTCTCAGTCAGAAGAATATACCTCATCCTTTTGCACCCAGCTAGTATGTTTTACAATGCCTTTCATATTTCCATAGATAAATCTATCTCATTTGTTTATGTATGTACATTTGCCACTCATTGAAGGAACCATCATTTATTTAGCCAGATAACAATAATTGATATTTTTAATTTTTAAATAAATGAACTTTTACTAGTTTGATGATATGACCCTATTAACATTAATGATATAAACAAAGTAAGAAGCTAACATGACTAGGAGAGCCATGTATCTTGGTGATAACACTGCACACATGTGAGTCGGGAGAATTCTTATAGGCAGAATTACTGTGGGAAAGGGTTCATGCTTTTGCAAGTTTAACAGATGTTGCCAACTGCTTTCTGAGCAGGTCACGTTGATTTATACTTCCACAAAAATATCTATGGTTCTTTCTTGGTTAATATACTCTTTGATATCATTTCATTTCTTTATTGTGTAATTAACTTTGCAAATCACCTTTTTTTTTCTTGCTTTGAATCATTATGAATTTAGCTTTCAGATGAATTTCTAGAAGCAGAAGTATTTTCGGTTCAAAGAGTGTATACATATGTGTATTTTGTTTCATAGGTTTGCCAAAATTCTCTTCAAAATTGTATCAAGATGATATTTTATTCACAGCATTTGAAAGCAGGTTTGAGAGCAGCACTGAGATGTGTGAAACTCTGAAAATAACATTAAAGTCTCATCTGACTTCAACTTTACCCCTTTTCTCCACCCCCGTGAATTTATTCTTCCTTTATGCTGATTTCAGGTTGGGACCAGACTTTTTATAAATATTGTAGTTAAAAGTGATGGGAAAAAATAGACAATTTTCACCCTTTATTTTCATCCTAATGTTTAAATCACTGCAAATACTAAGACAATACTAAAGAATAAAGTTGTGAGGTAGAAAATTTTTAACTTTAGCAGCTGTGTTACATAGCCAGGATTTCAGGCCAGACTCAATAAAGAAATGGCAAGTGGCAAGTACATTTGGAAATGACCTAGAACTGATGTAATAATTCAGAAATAACTTATTTAAATATGCATTTGGTTTCCAGAAAGAGGTGGCTATTGCAATTTAGTCCTAAAGTTTCATTGGTCTCCTGGAACATTCAACACCTTTTATGGTTCCTTTTCCTTCCTGCCCCATCTCTTCTCTCTGCCCCTCCTTTCTCTCTCCCCTCTTCTTACTTCCTCCCGCCTCCCGCTTCTTTCCTTTTGTAACCAGGGAGTGTAATTATATTGGCTATATCACAGTTACTTCTCGCACTTATATCATTCGCTAAGCATTTAGCAGCAGTATTAGGACACATTATTTTCTTTCATAAATGAGGCGTACCCATTAACCAAAAGCACTATCCAGCAAAGGGAAATGACATTTCTCATAATGGAAAGTTTACATATGGTGGCACCCTTTGCCACAGAAGTGGCTCAAAGCTTACAGGAAAAGAAGCCATAGTTTTAGAGACAGAATAGCCATTTTGCTAAATCACATGCTGTGTTAGAAAAAGAACCTCCCATCTCAATTTCAGTCGTGACTATTTTCTTTCATTTTATTACAATCCTATATGAGTTAATTGCCGTAATTGGTCTTGTGGAGCACCATACCAAATGTCTGTTGAATGCTAGACTTTATGACCTGTGATTACATCGTTGGTTCCAATAGGTAATTGAGGATTTTTTTTACAAAGGTATTTTAGAAAATCATTTCACTTCATTCCTGACCCACTCAGTATGACAATCTTGGCAACTCCGGCTGTGCAGTTGGAAGGTTAAGAGAATACCTTCCATTGGTAACAAGAAATAGATTCTTTCTAGTTTCTATGCTCAAATCCATACAAAATACAACTTCTTGGCATGACAAATTTCATGGAAATTAGAGTAAGCTTTCAATAAATACTTTACCTTCGTCTATGTGGAAAGTAGAAGGTTTCCAAATTTCTAATAAAATGCTTTATATTGTGACTGTAGAAAAGTAACTTTGATGAAATTCTTTGTCTGCCTTGACAGTGAGACAGTGTTTTGTTCGTCTCATAAGCACATATTCCCTATATAACAATATTTTGTAAATTGTTCTTTAAAAAATTGCTCTAAACTCAACAGGATTTTTAAAAGTTGGCTCCAAGGAAGTAGTAAGTATAAGAGATAAATTCCAAATCAAGCAAAGGAAACGCACACTTGGTTCTATGGTCAAGAAAAGTTTTGGAACTACGAAGGGTTAAACAGTTGCTTGGCTGGTAGATTCCTCATAATATAATTGCTTTCTGTAAAGATGAAAGGAAGAATATAGTATGTGATTTTTCTTAAACTAATTTGACCAAGAACCCTTTTACTGTGGAATGTTCAGAGGCTAGTAGGCAATGGTTTTTAGCCATGGATTGTTTTTTAATTGTACCAAATGATATTATATGAACAGTTCAATGTGGTTTCTGAAACAGAGCCTGGGGTATTGATCGATCAAACAAAGATGTCTAAGCCAAAAATCGTAAAGATAGTGATTTCTTTAAATAGGACCTATCTTCTAAATGAAGTCCTAAATTAAGAGAAGTTATTAGATCATCTTGCCAACTCAAACATATTTTCAATACTTTTGAAAAATAAGTACCTTAGGCAACCTTAAAATGAGGTAAAGAAGGCCTGTCTTCTTTGTCGTCTGAGGTAATTCCCTATTCTAAAATATCAGTCTTGCATCCACTGTGTTATTTACTCTAGAAATTTTACTTTCTTGTAAGTATGCAGATGATAAAGTGATCTGAGTATACTTTAAAATAGGGTAGCCCCCAGATTCAAAATATTAACTTCATCACTTACTTCTAACCAGTATAACTTTATTTGGGCAAATACATTATATTCAACTGAATGACTAATTAAGTAAATCTATTAAGATACAATTAAAAATGGTGGGGATGGGGAGAGAGATATCCTGGTTTAAGTCTATATTAACTGGCATGTCAATTTATCAAGTATGGATAGACATGGGGTACATGATAAATTCTCTTTTTAAGGTTTATTTATGCATATAGATCTGGGGTACAGGCCAGAGGTGTAGGGGTTATGAGAGGATTCACCAGAGACAGAGTGGGGAGCAGAACAGGCAGATTAAGTACACTGCTTAGGGGAGCAGTGGGCAGGTCAAGAGAGGTCTGCCGCACCATTTGGGTCACCTGAGGGGCCAGAGACTGAACACGCACTGAAGCAGCTGCCGCTAGCTTGCAGTGTTGCGCTATAACCCATTGCGTGACCAGGGAGGGCTCCATGATAGATTCCTTTTAATGGGAGGGAACAGCTAGTGAGAGCACGAAGAACACTTACTAGCAGGATAAGCTCGATGAAAAAGAAAATCCCTGAGAGATGCTGGGCATTTTTTCGAGTGTGTATATATTCACATACACACAAACACGTGTGTATGTATGTATGTGCACATATGTATATATTTATCTCATGCTTTTGTTTGAGTTCAGCTGGCAAAGGGACAAAGCAAAAACTCTGTTATAAAACTTTTTGGTATATTACTTACTGTTGAGTTTGTCTGATGTTTCTACTGCATGGACTGCATGACTAAATCAGCTGTGATTTTCACATAATTTTGGTATTTGTCAACTCGCTACAGATAAATTTAAACTGTTTTAACCTAGTGAATGTTTTTGCTGTCTTATTTTTTAATTTCCTGGGAAAGGAATTAGCATATATCCTTTGATAACTTATTTTATTCCATCTCCACTGTTCTTTTTTAAATGACTTGCCCAGTGTAATGGTTACCAATTATTTACTAGACATACCACTTAGGCTATTATATTGTGCCATGTTTTATTATATTATATTTTTATTATTTATTATATTATTTATTTATATTAATCTATATATATATATTTATATTATTATATTATATTTAATTATATTAAGTCATGTTTTCGAATAGTCATGATATACATTATGGCAGAAACATAGGAGATATTTCCAAGATACCAAAAAACACACATAAAACATATTAATGCAATTTTTAAGGTCACATTTATTTACTTTTGTTTTCTAATCAAAAAAACTCTAAAAACATTCTAAGGTTTTAGTTATTGATTTGTTTGTTGAAGATGGCAGTTTAAAATACATATATTTGGAAAATTGTTTTATTTCAAAATCAAATTTATAGTTTTCATATTAGTAGCTTTTTTGGAATAAAAAATGAATTATAGGTAACTCAATTTGAAGAAGAACTTTCTAGAATATAGATGGACGGTTGCTGGGGAGCTAAGATATTTGTAGGATTTGTATTATTTTAAGCAGTGTACAAGTGTGCCCAGTGGAGGGATTGTAGTATATGGGCAGAGCCATCGTTGTGGTTCCTGAAACTCCCCAGTGAAGGAGCCCAGATGTGGCCAAAATTCCTCCATCAATACTTGCCAGAGGTGTGTCCAGTATGAGACTACAGCTACTCAGAGAGTGCCTTTTCCTAACCCTCTCTTTATTAGATCATCAATGCTATGTATTCATGCTAATTGAAATATTTAACACCATGCTCTACAATAATCAGTACAAAAATTAGTTCAAAAAATTGCCCCCAAATGGGAGATTCTTTATAGCAAGAAACTACAAGGCTGAAAGAGCAGTTTATTGCTTAAGGAAGAGGATCTTTGACAATGGACATGTACAAGTTCTCTGGACACAACGCTATGCAAACAAACATATCTGAACTTTGCAAAGAGTTCCTCTATAGGACTGTCTACTAGAGGGACTGAATGGAGTTGTTTAAACATACTTAAAATCCTGTTCTGGGATTACCTACAAAGACAGTTATTAGCTGCTGCATATTCTTTTATGATGCTTTATAGTTATACCACATAACCCAAACTGACATTCAAGGTTATAAATGGTTTTTGCATAGTTGAAAAAAATTCCATTTTTTAAGGAACAAGATACAATGTCCAGGAAGAATACTGGAAATTTACACCAGAGTCCTGAGGAAACTACCAAAGAGATCTTCAAAATCATTTCTAAACAAGGACCTTGACTCTCAAGGTGAGTATGATGACGAAGAACAGGGGAGCGAAATACGCAAACAGTTTTTCTGAGAGGTGGTCTATCATAGTTTTTAAGTCTATGAGCCTGGGAGTCAGAGGAGCTTGGATTATTTGATGGTTCTCCAGTGTATTAGGTATATTAATTTAGAATTTCTCAATTTCTGGGTACTTTAGGATTCTTATCGACATAATAGGAAACTATTAAGAGTAACTAGTTCATGGATTGGTTGTGAGTACTCTGTGAATTACTTTTTGAAAATCATTAATATCTGGCCATCAGTAAATGTTAAATATTGTTTTTATTACAATACTTATGTACATTTACAGATAACCTTAATCTTACTGGAAGGTGTTATTTTCCCCATTCTAGAATTGAGTAAAGTAAGTAAGCTCCTTGCTTACTCTCTAAGGGATTAATACACCGGTGTGAACTTGAAAGAAATAGTAAAATGCTTGGCCAGGATAACACTCTGCTACAAATGATCATACTGTCCTGTGTACTGTGTCCACTATGTATTATATCAGAGACATTTCAGTAACTCTCAGTAGTCCTTATTTACTGAAATTGGCTTGACCCTTAATGGACACAGATATAAAATGCATCAGACCCAAAACTCCGACATCATATATTTGCCGAGGACCTATCCTTGATTTTACCACTGTCGCTAGGGCAGCTGACCAGATACTTCTTTCTTTCTGCCTCTGGTTTGTAATATTGTACTTTCTGCTCACTTTGAAGTTACACATAGTTGGGTGACTTGCTTGGGCCTAAGGCAATAGAAATGGAAGTGACTTGGCTCACTTCCAGGAGGAAGCTAGAGGCATCATTATGTGATTCATCATTATCTTTTAGCCCGGCTTGAAAGATTGCAGAAATACACTGTCAAGATGGCGTTTCTATCACGGGGCCAGTAACCGACGTGCAGCCTGATTGTACAGCAATTGAGAAATATCCCTTGTTGTCTTAAGCTACTGAGATATTAAATCTCTCTCTCTCTCTCTCTTTTTTTTTCCTGTAGTATAACCTATCTGGTGCTGACTGATGCAACTATCGACCAAATTCGGAAGGCGGAATGGCCAGTAAGGGATTTTCAAGCTCTATAATTATAAAAAGTGGGAGCCGCTAAATCAGGGCCGTGCAGAGCTGAATACACACCTTTTGTGCTCTACGTTTGTCTGCTCGTTGATTTTGGTGATAGATCCGACTGAAGTTAGATACAATTACTGGAACTGGCAGAGCGATAACCAAAACTCCACTCAGCGAACAGATGGAACCAAAAATCTTCCCTGCTATGGTTTTTGGGACCATGTCACCATACCTGTGTCGAGAAAAAAAAAAAGTTGTAAGTCATGGAAAGTTCTTTCCTCCAACTTCACATAGTTTTTTGCTTTATGTCAAATTTTTTTTTGATTAACCTATTTTTGCTGCATGACTATAATATACATAGCTTAAGTCTTTAATAAGCCAGCTATAATGTACATCTGAATATTAAAAAAAAACAAAAACCTTTTAACCTTGCAGAAGTTGATCCCAACATTTAGAAACCTCTTTGATTAGAAAATATTTTTAGCCAGATGATGTAATCATAATTATTTAGTTTGTCTTTTCTCTAATATGGCATGTTCCTTATATTTATTTAACACTCAATACTTCCATGGCCCAGATAACACACTTTTCCACTTAGTTTTTTTCAACATTAAATTGATTATGAAATTTAAGTAGAAGCTGTAGTATATCACATTCCTTTCAACAAATATAATCACTTAATAACTTGAAGGTCTCATTAACCTTCATTTGTGAAATTCAATGGCATTTTTTCCATGATAATCTTACTCAATCTCTCATTTGTAATTGACCCAGTCACTTTTCTCCTGGACACATTTTCTGTTGGCTTCAATACTAGAAAATTCCCCTAGCAAACCTACTTTGGTGGCTGTTTCTTCGCCATCTCCTTTTCTAACATCTCCTTATTTGCCTTCTAACTTTGGAAGTAATTTGGGTCTCAGACTCGAACCCTCTTATCTGCTTTCTAAAAATTCTCTTCCTATGTGATTCCATCCACCTCTAAAGCTTAAAACCCCTTTGCTTAAATGCTGCTGATAACCTAATTTATATCAGCAGCCCTGGTGTCCACCTTGAAAATCAGACTCATATCTTCAATCATTTGATGTGATTATTCCTACCCGTGGATGATTAAGTGCTAATTAAGACTTAAATTAGTCAAAAAGGAACTCTTGTTTCCCTGTTTTTTTCCAGCCCACTCAAATCTGCTCCTCCCACAGTCTAACACCTCTAATTAAACAGAACCACAAACCACTCAATTGCTGTTATCAGAACTGAAAACCCACCTCAACCCCAGGGGTCTCAGTTCTCAACTACTCTGGTGGTCTCTGGCCAAACCAAGTTACTTCCTCAAATCAACATCTCTTTCCTCATATTCCAGGTTCAGTGATGCAGGCCAGCATCATCTCTTGCCAGAGTCACAAAATATAACTTCCTACCTAAATTCTCTTTTTTTGCATTTACTATTGTATAATTCACGCCAACGGAGCAGCCAGAGTTATAGTTTTAAAAATGGAGATTGGGCTGTTGCTACTTGGCTTAAAACCTTCTAATAGACTTGAAAATGAAATAAATGCAAACACCTCACATTAGTCTCTAAGGGCCTATATCACTTAATTCCTATCTATATTTCACACCACCTTCTAGCAAGCTCCCTGTCCTCCAGCACACTGGCCATCTGGCTGTCTGTCACAAGTGCAGCCCCTGTATCATTATTATTCAGGTGAAGACTTAAATGTCTCCATTCCAGAAAATAATGATTCTACGTTATTTTCCAGTCACCACCTACCTCCATAGCGGTTTTACTTTCTCCCCTATTTATTCTCCATAATATTTTCCCATGTGATTGCTTTTTTAGTCATGATCACATGATGTTTTCTTATTTATTAGTGTGTTTATTTTTAAGACTCCCCCTACAGTCCTGCCAACATGAGACTTTAAACTTGAAAAAACAGGACTGGCTCTATTTCATGTCTCATCAGCACTCATCAGGTGAGTACCTTCTCCCTACCTTACTGATAACAAGACCTCTTCCAAGAGTTTGCTCTTGGTGGGAGAGCAGCAAAAAAGGAAGTGTGTTGATCGTATTGGAAAAGTTGATCAGTTGCTTCTGTAGAGCTTCAGCTACCTCCTGCTTATTTTGGGGTTCTAGGGAGCTCTGAGAGTTTAGATCTTAGTAACAGCTTACAGCAGCTCAGGTGTTAGCATCAGGCTCAGGGGTCTTACCAGTGCTTGGGAATACATTGCATTTGAAGAGCTGCCTCTAATTAGAGATGGCCCCTCCAAATCACATTACTGTGGGCAAACATTTGTCAATATGGAGATGGGAATTGTGGAAGGGGCCCGGGAGTGACCGGGGAGCTGACACACAGCATCTGGTGACCCCCATCCCAGCCTCTGGTTTTCTGCTCTGAAGGTCCAGTTACTCATTCCTGTCTGTGCTTGTGCTTGACCAACAGTTAAGCTCATCGGGCATCACTAAAATTCACCAATTTACTGCAACTGAAATTCTTAACTGTTTTGGTGTCTCTAGTGCCAGCATGCTCAGAGTCGCTTCACTATTGACTTGCAGAGGGATAACGCTCTCCGTGGTTTATCAGGCTTTAATGCTCTCTCAATGTACACAGTCACACCAGGCAGGGTGGGCATGCAAGGGGGCAGGGAGGCAACCGCACCTCCCAGCCCTCTGCAAATGTCTATGCTCTTTCTGCAGGGCTCTCTCCTGCATTTCAGGGCCTTGCCTCTTCTGCACTCACGCCACTCATCCTCTGACTGCTCTGTTGTCTTTGCTTTCACCCCCACTTCCAGGCTCAGTTCCACACTTACACGTGTGCACACCCATATTCCAGGTGTCCACAGTCAGATGCGCGTGCCCCTCACCCACACTCCTAATGCCTTCTGCATTAGCAGGATCAAGGCTGCAGGTGACAGGCAGAAGCCAGTGGCTAACAGGCCTCATCATTTCATTTATCCTACAGTATCAGAATGACAGTGCTAATTTACAATGGAAAATAGTAACTCAAGAAATATAATGCTGTATTCAGAGGTAAAAAGACTTAACTGGGTAGTTAAGTATAGTCTAAAGGTGGTGTTACTGAGGAAACAGTCAAAGCTAGAGGAATTCACAAGGTGGACAAGAAAGGCCTAAGGAATTTCTTTCCATAGGAGGACAACTGGAAGATCACCTTTTCGATATGATGTTTGGTGTGCAAGAGCTAACTTCTGTGTATCCACAGTTCACACTGAGTGCCTGGTTATATTTTATGAACATCTTCTTTCCTTTTGCACCGATTGTGCAGAAAGCCCTGGGGAAGTCTAAAATACACATATCCCCCTATTTATAAGCAGCTTCTCAGGAAAGAGATTTGATTTTAATGTCTACCAATTCAGAACTAGAAAGTAAATAAAACTCAATTTGGTTTTTATGGTCAGAGAGAAGCATTGAGTCCATGTAATCAAAATAAACTTCGAAATATATAAGTACATAAAATAAAATAGCTTAATAAATCTATCATATACTTTTCCTTGCCTCTAAGAAATTTTAAAATTTAATAAATTAGTCTTTATTAACTCCTTCCATATGCTAGGCTTATTAAGTCATGGACTATGCAAAAATTACATAATGGTAATTATTAGAGAAAATTAAAGGCTAAGCGGTGTGGTATGATCGATCCCAACACTCTCTCAGAGCAGAAAGAGACAGAAGATTGGAAAGTTTAGACCGCAGGTGGTGGGAGGGATAGATGGAAAATCAAGTACTCCGAAGGTCCACACATAAAAAAAGGAGAAATCGATTCTGAGGGCCATGGCCAGAGGAATTCTGCACCAACAGAAACGCAGGGTTCCTTGGGAAAGTTATTTTTGATGAGATGCCTCAGACTCAACTACTGAATCACTGCAGATCCTTTCTGAATGTGAGGAGATTATAATATAAATAAATACAGTAGAAAATGAACTTGTTACTCAAGGGGAAACATGGGTAAAATAAAATAGCTTGTTTATTTTGTGACAAAAGTATAGAAAGGAAGGATATGAACCAAATAGGCAGAAAATTCCAAAAGGATCCACACGGGAAAAGAACAGATACATTGGGATAGCTTGATACGGAAAGCTATGTTAATCGGCATCAAACACCATTCCAGTTATAACAATAATAACTGTTATAGCAATAATCCATCATATTTGTTTTGTAGTCAAAATCTTTTTCACAATCAAAAATAAAACATAGGGGAGCTTTTTAGGTAACTGGCTAGTACTACAATATATTTTGGTGGGAGGAACAGAGAGAGTGAAGTGCTCATTTATAGAAAGGTCTCATTTTTACTCGTGGCAAGGAACCAAAGCTTTCCCATGTTATTGAAAATTAGGATGGTCCCTGGGGCTCTGATGTTGAGAGGATACAAGAGAGCAGGAAGAACTGGGTGCTGGGGTAGTCCAGGGTTCCCTGGTACCTGTGGTCATTCAGGTAAGGACGGCTGAACACTTCACTGACCCCCTGAGAGGCATCTGCTGTCTTCTTCCACACATTCCTTCTGCTTTGTCCCTGGTTCCCTTGCCTTTTTTTTTTTTTTTAAGATTTATTTATTTATGCTTACAGAACATGGGGTATAGGCTAGAGGTGCAGGGGGGGAGAGGATTCACCAGAGACAGAGTGGGGAGCAGAACAGGCAAATCTACTGATATACACTGCTGAAGGGAACAGGAGATGTGTCAGGAGAGGTCTGCTGCGCCATGTGGGTCACCTCCCTGGCCAGGAATCGAACCTGTGTGGCATTTGCTTCTGAGAGCTTCACAATGGACACTTCAACCCATTGTGCCACCAGGGAGAGCCCTCCCTTGACTTTTTAAGATTGCTATAGGTGTTTGTAATATTTGTATAAATATATGTCACTGGTGTGAATATACTGGAGAATTATGAAAAACATAGTGTGATTTTTTGTAGCTATTTTTATTGTCCATTTTGTCTTTCTTTTCACTTAGGAACAACCATGAAAATGGCAATGGGGAATATTTATCTGCAAACTCTAACAGGATACAGAATCAACTGGAGATGTGAAACAGCTCTATGACAAAACCAGTTGCTTTCATTTCTTTACCAAAAGATCTAACTTTCAAGCACATAGTGAGCAGCAAGAGAGCTTTATAAGTACATAAGGAATCTTATTTCTCTGAAAATTACTGGAAGTTTGAGAAGGGCAGCTTTATAATGGGAAGTGACATGTATCATGGCTAAGCACTTCTAAAATCTTTTAATGA